TAACTTCGTTTTGTGCATGAGAAGAACATTTGACATGTGGCAATAATGCGATAACATTTCTTAGATCTCCTTACTGGAACATCTTTGCCTTTATCACTATAAATCAGAATAAAAGTATGTAACTAGTTTTATAGAATCTACTTTCAACTGACATTCGTGACACTTTATTTTTCAGAGTACTTGATGTTGCCTACCTGGAACTACACAAAAACAAAAGTTAGAGCTAAGGAGCTGAAATTAAAGAAGCTTAAGAAGCTTTGTATTGCCTTTAATTATAACTACACAAAACTATGTTTTTGATTCTATAAAAACATCATACATATATGTTTCTACAGAAGAAAAAATACCAGTTTATTTCTACTTTCAGTCTAAATTTAAAATTTCTGTATGTGAATCTAATTCAACAGAATCTATGAGCCCTCAAAAGCATTGACCCCCCTACAACTGCATTCCTTGCATACCCCTCATCTTTTTTCATATACATTGCGTCTATAATTAAAGAACCCTATTTCAAAGCTGCCTGCGAGTGAAACCAGTTATCAGAAAATTGTGAAATTTTGTGTTGCACATAATTGAAGGGATGAGAATTTCTTCCAGTTGGGGGGGGGATTAGTTACAAATAGCGTCACCAGAGAGCTTTGAAAGCCTGAGGTAAAATGTAAATCTTTGTTGACGTCATGCAGTAGCTGTTATGAAACCTAGAAACATTCGAGAAGACTTTCTTTTCAATGTTCTTGTTGCTCACAATGACGATAAGTTTTCTAGACCAGGCTTTGTTGGTAAAACTGTTTTACCAAAACAGTAATTCCACAGTAGCTGCTCTAAGGAAACTTCGGATTTTGAAGGGGATCTAGAAAGGTCCTATTCTGAAAGGTCCAAAGAATGTTAAAAACCTTCGGAAAATGATAACGAAATTTGAAGAAACAAGATTGATATCTGTTCATCATACAGGAGCAGGACAAGAGGTTGTGCTTCAGGTCGAAGAGAATACAGCTTCACACTTTCAGGCTAGTACCAGTGTCCAGCGTATAGCAGAGATGCTGGATATATCAAGTTCTATTCATAAGATCTTGTGGAACATCCTCTAGTATTATCCTTATAAACTTTCACTAATGCAGCAGTTGCTTCCACATGATTTTGATGCTCGACTCCTGTTCTCACTTCAGTTTCTTGCTTGTTCTGAGGTCGATTCAGAATGGCCTTGGAATATCCTCTGGACAGAGGAAGCACATTTTCATTTGGATGGTGCAGTAAATACTCCCAAATGAAGAATCTGGGAAGCAGAAAATCTGCATCCTGTATTAGAGGTTCCATTGCTTTCACCAAGTGATGGTATGGTGTGGATTTTCTCTGTCATTTATTCTCAATCCAGACTTTCACCCGGCAGAAAGAATAAACTAAAGAGCATACTAAATAATTTTAGAATTATACACACTCAAAGCTGGCTCATAGGAGCCTGTTAGAAACACTGAATGCACTGAATCTACATCAACAGGTAAAAAAAATTCTGACATTCACAGTGAAGTTTGTCTCCAGAAAGAAATTATTTTTAAGGGGGGGGGTGAAAATATAGCAAAAAAATTATTCCTTGCATTGCAAGTTTCTTAGATCAGTAAATCTATCAAAACCTTATTCAAGTTAGATAAATTCCTAAAGAGCACCTAACACAGCTTAACAAATGGCCTCCTATAGTTCACTATTGAATAAAAAGCGTAGTGAAAATGTTTACACATTTAATAAAACTGACTAATGAAATATAGTTTCCAATACGAATGCCTTGTGACTGTGAAAATGAAAGAGGGGATGATGATGAAATCTATGACAGTGGCAACAAATTCATGAAAACAGGTGGTGACATAATTAGATTTATTGCTTCTCGTGTGAATGCTGTTATTCAAAATGTTTCTGCAAATGAAACTGATTCCACAAGCCCTTCAAAAAATGGAGGCATAATGCTAAGTTCAGGATCTTCAAAATACAATTGCTATTGAAAGTGTTCCAAGATCATTCATAGAAAATTAGGCATCACAGAAAGTATGAGATACATTATGGAAAAGGAGAAAAGAAGTATATACTCAGTTTTGAAAGAGAAGGTTTCACTGATGAATAGTAATCAAGGAAATTCGATGTTATTGATAAAATTTTAGCTGCATAGACCTGATTTATATATTCTTTTTCTTGTTTGCAATTCTTCTGCACAAGTTGTAGCAAGAAATGAATTAACACTGAAATGCATGTTGCCACCAGATAGCAACAATCAATAAACTTATTACACCTAGAGAAACAAGATATATATATACACAATTAAAAAATACTTTTCACTGTCTCTGATAATAACAGTAACTAAATAAATTAAATATTTACTGATATCATCAACTGTTTTTAAAGTATGTAGAAATTCAAAACTAACTATCATAGCTTATGAGAGTTTAAAAGATAGAATAGGAGCTCCTTTCATTGAGAGCATCCCATTGTGTTATATGCACCACCACAGCTTTATGCATCCCAAAACGTTCATTGTCACCACAAGCAACCATTGTGAATAAACCAATATGTAACACTTCCTAAAGAATGTAAAGGATGTAGTTAAAATAACTGTAGTATGCATAAGACTCATTGAAATGGCTTGAAAGTGAGATGACCCTGCAGATGCACTATCAAAAAAAATCTGGAAAGCAAAGTAACTGATAATTTTGACGTATTAAGTGTAGTTCACAATTATTAAGCAACTGATATAAGAACAAATAATGACACAGTTCCAGAAGCTACTCAGTTGGATTTATGGTCAAACTAGTATCTGAGTAGCTTGAGAAAATTGGCCTAGTAATGGAACGAAAATTTCAGATAACATAAAACGATTCTTTACAATTAAAAATGACTTCCATTATAGAATTTGGACCTCTTACTAAAGTTTCTAAAACTGTGGTATCACCATGTACAAGAAATGAAATTTTACTTTTAAATCACTAATAATGATTTTGATGATGAAAAAAGTACAAACACAGCAAGGGAGATAATGTATTGGTAAGATATGAATAAAAGTATTCAGTTTGTTATATAACACTGAAATACATCAAAAGTTCCAAAAAGCTTTACTAACGCATACAGTCCGTGGTGAACTATGAAAATTTTAATGAAGGGCTTGCATTTTAGCTCATAAAACAAAATATCAAATATCGAATTGTAATTAAATGCTTTGTTTAAAAAAGGGGGGGGCTAAAAAATGTATGAACAAAAAAGTCAATTTTTCTGTTTTAAATTATAAAAGTAGGAAGTCACATAATGTTCCAGAAATAACCCAAAAGAATGAGTCAATTTAATTTTGTGGCACAACTGATATCAGAAATTGCCTTACATAATTTCCTTCTCTACATCAGCTGAATTTCTAGTATACTTGATGATTTTTATGAAACATTTTTATTTAAAGTTACGACTAAATTATCTTAAAGGTTTCTATTTAAGGGAGAGTACCTCTAAATTTGAAATATGCTGTACAGTCAAAGATACTCTTCTTGTAAAAAAATGTTTATTGAGCTAAATTAGGAATTCCATTATGCAGTTTTTCTGTTAAAGCCATTTAAATGGAATTAAAAAATCATTTACGTTTATTTCATGTTTTGATACAAAATTAAATTGCTTGGTCTCCTTTTATCTCCTTTTCCATAAACATGTTATTTCACCCATGCCCCATACCTCTGAATAACAAACATTAAAAACTGCTTTTAATTTTTCAGCTTTGCATTCATCTTCATTTTTATTTTTTAACTACTTTGTTACAACTATCTATTTTTTTAAAGACATTACGAGACAGTTCAGTAACTTTTCTTGTAATGCATGACATTTATTCTTGCTTATAATCATTAACCCTTCAAATTCCTTTGGTTTTAACATAGAATTAATTTATTTGTTTTACGCAAACAAGAACAAGGAGCTTGCAAATCAGAGACAAACGTAACAAAGCCCCCTACATCCCAATACTGCATACATTTCCATGAATGAAATTTGAAAAAAGTAGGTACTGATACTATAAAGTACAGAAATTTCAATTACTCAATTGTAACATGTTGTTATTCTAAGTGGAGTGAGATCAAAAACTAAATAACAAAACAATAATGGAAATCAATAGCAGATGGAAGGTTTGCTTTTCTAGGTTGAAAGATGCTTCCTTTAATTGTAAATGATCATGATCTATTAAACAGCTTCCAATTTAGCACTTTTATCAAAGGCTGGGGTTTTGACAAGATCCAAATATCCTGAGAGTAACAAAATGGCAAAAAGTGAAGTAGAGATTGCAAAAGTCATATTCAGGAATGCTCTCAAAGACCACAAGGAATAGATAACAAGATAAGTGGAATATAGGAATATTTATATTTTGGGATTAAATTTGACTCTATCATAGCTGTTTTACAATGAGCTGAGTACCAAAATTCCCATAGATAATGTATTAATAAATGAAAAAAATCTTTAAAAATGTAATGGAAAGATTTGCTAACAAATAAAAAAGGAAAATGCTGTTTCAACAAGGATACCATTGGACTGAAACCTTTTTAATCCTTGTGATAATGCAATGATGTACAAGTTCAGTTGTCAGACTTGGAAACCAGCCTAGGTAGCCTGTGACTATCAAAATCTTAGATCTTATGGTATTGGAAACAGCTTAGATAACACTTTTGTGACAGAGTATATTTAAGACCCTTCAATACTCCCTTAAAAGGAAATCTGGATTTTAATTATTTGAGAAAGGAATCTCAGTCTGCTAGTACAAATGCTACCACTTCTTCAACTGTTGGTAGTTCATTTCAAGCACTAGGAAATAAGACTGCCTTTGTGCCATGACTGCTTAGCATTTAAGTAATTCAATGAACATTAATTCATGGTCAAATGATTATGTTTGTTGAACAATAATGATAGTACTGCCTTTTGAGGAATCAAGATTAACCAGACAATGAAAAATAAAAGTGCAAAATACCATATGAATATTATTAAAAAAAGAAACTTACCATCATGTAAACATGAAGACATCTAATGCAAGGCCAAGTGTAGGATCAGGACCGCATGTATCACAAAACCCTCCACATTTTCCATGAATAACTTGATCATTCTATAATATGAATGAATGGCATTATGAAAAATATAATAAAATGAAACAAAATAACATGAATGAAAAATAGTAAGTCCAACTTTATTAATGTCTCATACATCCCATAAAAAACAGACTGCTCTTATGCATTTAAAATCATGCAGCAGTATTAATTGCGTATAACAACAAAGTGCTTGGATCATTTATTGAGGGCTAAACATTTTAGCAGTTTATAAGATTATTAGAATATTTTTAAAAGTTGCTAAGAAAATCAGATGCCCTGCCTATTTTCAGTATTAGGCATTATCAATAATAATGAATAAGAGTGGATTTGCAGCTCTGTAAAATGACACCAAAGAGAAAATTTAAAGCATAATAAATAGCAAGAGTTGTTCAAGTATATATAAAAAGGGGGAGGGAATACGGCCTAAAGCCAGTCCCAGATCTGAGGGGGGCGGAATTCCTGCCCTAGTCTGCAAATTCAAATGTGGTGCTGGATCATATTTGGAATGTTGTCTTATTTTCCTACAACAGCAGTCTAATTTTGCTACAACATTAGTAGTTTTAAGGCCAGGTTTAAAAAAACCTCTTTTAAGAAGATTTATAATTAAATACTAAGAACACATTTAAAGGAGCACAGAGTTAAATAAGGCCAATTACGACTGTGTGCAGGCAAGCCTCCACATTGATTCAACATCAAGTCTGTTCACTGCGACCTCTCAATGACAGAGCGAAATTGACGGCTACAACCGGTTTTACTTCCTTCTGCTGTTGGGTTCTGAAGGTGTAGGTTGTTCTTCTGGCTGTCTTCACCCCTGCTGACGTGTGCGTCATGTTTGCTTTTTTCGTTCTTTTTTGACTGCCATCTCCATATTGTGTGTAGAGTAATGTACGCCGAGTAAAGAAATTGGTACTGAATATTCAACTAAAATTATCTAGATGCTAACTCCTGCAGTAAACTAATGAGGTTCTACGACTCTTCAAAAGTATATTGGAATTGAAATATCCTCGAAAGAACTTCATGTGCACGTGTTCCACTTTCAGGATGATATGAAATATCCGACTTGTGTTTCTTCAAAAATATATTGGAATAACCAGTCAACTCAATTTCCTCCATTATAAAATTTGATTTTTTTATCATGAAACTTTGTTTAAAGACGATGTACTGAGATTCACTTTGATTGGAATATTATGCATTTCTTGTACGAAAGGTTAGGATTCGGAATGGCAGGACCATTTCTTTCAGCCGCTATTCGATCACGGTTATTAAGCTTCTGTCTGGCGATATTGACTTGATTATGCTGGTGTTAATTCAAAACTTTATGAGGTCAAGTTATAATAAATATTACTTAATTCACATTATTTGAAGTGTCATCCTTTGGGGGTAAGTTACTTTACTTTTATATTCCTTTATAGATCACACATTCCATCATCACATGCAACACATCATTTTTTATTACAGACTGTAAATAGAACACAGAGAGGACAATAGACGGAGCACCCTCTTCACTGAAAATGACCCTCTCGGTGATGTTTGGAGTCCCTCCATTGTTTGCTGTCTAGGCAGCGGTATTCAGATTAGAAATACATATGAGATACTTTGTTTCCATAGCAATGCCACTTAAGAAATAAAGAAGCATTGAAACCAAAGTGACAATACAATTTTCAAAGTATGAATTAAATAAAAGCATAATGTGCTATCTTTGAAAAAAAAAAAAAAAAAAAAAACTGTAAACTGATGTAGAAATATAATTCACAAGAACTCATGCATGTCCATTAAACTTATTCATAGATTATATGGACACATATACTTTTGAAATAATTTGTTATGTGTTACAAATGATTGTCTGGATTATGTCCTAATTTTAATAAATTTATACTTTAATCCTTGGAGCTAATCAGAGCATGTTTTAATGTTGTAAAAGTTATAGAGAGTGTTCAAGGAAAGTGATTGCAGGTTTTATTTCCTTAAATTTTGCCCCATAAATTCACTTCTAATTTCAAAGTTTTTCAGAATAAGGTACACAATTTTATAAAACAAGTCTGAACAGTGCATGAAAGATCTCTGAAAATATAAAACTACCTAATATTTTATAAGGCCCTTGCAAAGCAAAAATTTTAATTTCTAAAATATTCATAATGCTTTAATGAGTTAAAAACAAAATATTTCATCTCTTTATATGCACTGTGTAATAAAACTCAACTCAAAATGCAGTTTACTATATTAAGCATAACAACCAACACCAAATGCAGAAAATGTCAATATTCTTACACAAGTAGTTAAACAGACAGATACAGCTAATGCCATAAATCTGTATAAACGGATAGGTAATGTGGTAACTGAAGTGTAATATTTGCACAAATTCATTTAAAACAAAACTTATATTATATAATCTTTAGGAAAACTTTCTGCAGCAATCTTTGATGTCTTTTGTACATGCAGATTATTTGCTACTATAATGGCTCTTTACAGGAAATAAGAAGCATTAATCTATATCTCATAGTTTTCACATAACTTATCTGCAGGGTATTATCCCTTCACCCTCCCCCTAAAAGCAGCAAAAGGCTTATATTTCCTTAAATGTTGATCCTAAATTCCAACTTCAGATTACACATTTTTTTTAAAAAAATAAGGTGGATAATTTTATAAAAACGGTTTCAGCACTGAGGCTAAGGATGATCTGCAAATGAAAAAAATGTAATTTGTACATAGTCTTTGTAAGCCAAAAGACTGACGAACACCATCACAAACACATGATACAGAACGTTTGCTGACAAGAGTAAAACATGGCAGGGGTTCGATCATGGTTTAGGCAGCCATATCATGGTATCCCATGGATCCATCATTACTGTGCAAGGTCACATTACTGCCAAGGTTTATGTGATTATTTTGGCTCATCCCGTCCATCCAATGGCACAAATTTTCTTCCCCAATGGTAATACCATATTCCAAGACAAGAGAGCTCCTGCTCACTTGGCTCACATCATTCAGGACTGGTTTTCTGAGCATGAGGGTGAACTTTCACATCTACTATGGCTACCACAATTATCAGATATTAATGTTATTGAGTGTTTTTTGGAAAGAAATCTGCACAAGTGCTATCCACCGCCATCATTATTAGCATAACTTGAAAGTGTTTTACAGGAAGAATGGTACAAGATTCCTTTGCAATACATAGAAGACTTCTATTCATTCATTTCAAGAAAACTGCAAGTTGTTTTGAATGCCAATGTTTTCTACACTCTATTAGTTACAGCAATATGATTTTATTTCATGTTTCCATATTTTTTTCCAGCCTCTGTACAACTATACACCACAAATCCATATAAACAGTGTAAAGTGGTAACTGAAGTGTAATATTTGCACAAATTCATTTGAAACAAAAGTTACATTGCATAATTCTTATGAAAAATTTTTGCAGCAATCTTCTGACTGATTTTAAGCTATAAAACAATTACTAAAAAGAAACTGCTCATTCATACAGATTGGGCCCAAAAGCAGCCAAGTGGTAAAGTTGTTAAACACAGTTAAAGTTTAATCCAGGGTTCAAAACGGGCTAGTCGCATGGGTGTTTTCATGGTTTTTCCCATGTGTAACGTGTTTATGGGCCAGTTTTCCTTAGAAAGTTCTCCACACAGGAATCTCTTCTCTTAAGCAGACAGCCCTCGAGTGCTTTACCATAATCAAATAAACCAAACCAACATGCTGACTGAAAAATATAGGGTCCTTTAAAGTCAGATTCGAAGTCCAAATCTCAATCAGAGGAAAATTTATTACATTATCTTCAGCGACAATTAAACAAGAGCAAAAATTCTAATGAAACAGTACACAAAGGTAAACTTAAAGAAGCACTGGGTAAAAATTAGTCCAAAAATTAGCTAAATCGTCAAATACAATGGAAAAAGTTCTTTAAAAAAGAAGCCCACCAGTGGCTGAGTTATAAAGACGCAGCACAGTGGCTGAGTTATAAAGACGCACAGTAGCTAAAAGTTCAGTTCAGGGTCAGAATCTTGGCGAACAGGCTGGGTGCATGGGTGTTGCGAGTTTTCCCATGCAAAGTGCTTACACAAGCCAGTTTCCATTAAGAAGTCGATATACAGAAAATTCTTCTAAGGATCTCCCCAGACAACAGACATAATTTGATCTGGGTTCCAGCTCATCTGGGTATTACTGGCAACGAAGCGGCGGATTTGCTTGAGAAATCTGCAGCGAATGACTCTAGTAAACTGGAAAATGCAGTAATTGTGCCACAGTCTTATTTTTAAAAAAATCATGCTCAATAGCCTTTCACAAGAATGGCAGAGAAGATGGGAAAGCACAGGGAGAAGAACCTACAAGTTCTTTCCAAAAGTTACATGCTCAGCTATACAAGATACAGCGATGCACAAACTCAGTTGTACACTGGCCATGGTTCCATCCCACATTATCTTACGAGATTTGGCAAATGAATCTCAGAACTGTCCGATAAATTGCACTTAAAAATACCAAAAAGTAAATACTGTCCACAATGGGCGGCAAATACCTGCGGCAACAAGCAGGCGAAAACTAAGATAGAGGAGGTAATCAGGCTATGCTCAACAAGGTACTAAGAAATTCTCCCTGCCCTTGAGATTTGTATCTTCACAGCATAATTTCAATAGCAAATCAAAGTGGTGGGGAGGGGCCTTAAAAAAGTTAAGTACATAGAGCTTACAACTCGCAGATACCAGAGCAGGAGATTAGTGTAGTTGTCTCTTGTAATAATATCCAAGTAATAAAACAGTAACAAAGATACTCCCTTGATAGGTACTAAAACTTTAATAGCAGTTGCAACTTTTCCAAGCAATTCAGCTAAGGTACTAGAACACTGAGTCACGTAACTCCCTACCCAGTTTACGCCAGGTAGTACTACAACAATTGAAAATCAACATTAAAAAAAGAGCTCCCCCCTGTATTAAAGTAACAGGACTATAAGAGCAAAAACTATTATAGTGTAAGCTTATTACTATCCATTTTGTATGCACTTGTTAAAAATAATGTTGAACATGACATCGAAAATCCAGTCAATGTGTAACTGAATTACAAGTTTACTTTGATTATCTCAGTAAAAGTACTGTAAATATGAATTCAGATAATGTTTAAATGTGCACATAACTGTCATGATTATATCTAACTATCAAATGCAACTTGTACAAGACAATGTTTGTAATAATCATATCTATGCATATACACAGGCCTTGTATGTCCATGTAATATTTTTATTTTCATATGAAGAAATAATTCCTTCTGCCAGGATGACTATTAACACTGTAAGACTTTACAACAAAGTTATGTCATCTCAGGCAGCACTCAGCATCATGAATGCTTTGCCATAACTAAATAAACCAACCAACCAAACCTTTAAAAATGATAAAAAATAACAAACTTTAAGCAATATTTTCAAATAGGAACTGAAAAAGTTAGCTCAACTTGAATAATTTTTTGACACTGAAATTTACCATAAAATCAGTTTAGCTGTAATTCTATCTGAATTATTGAATTTAACTGAAAACTTTCTTATTATACTATACTGTCAAGTTTCCAAGATATTTAGGTTCATGCTACTCAAAAAATTCTATTTTGTTTTAAATATACAGGGTGTTTATAAAGTCCCGTACCCATTAACTCATAAAATAATAAAGATAGATTAAAATTAATAACATAAAGGGTTAGATAGACTCAAAAAGTTTCGTGACTCTTGTCAATGAGCTTCCACGTGTGCCCCCTGTTGGCACTGAGAATATCAAGTTGATATTCAATTTCACGCCAGGTACCGGCAAGCATGTCAGCATCCACAGAGGCTATTGCGGTTGTAATTCTGGCTTTTAGGTCATTAATGTTTGACACTCTCCTCCTGTAAATGTTGTCCTTTACAAATCCCCAAAGGAAAAAGTACAGCAGCGTTATATCGGGTGATCTGGGTGGCCAAGGAATTGGACCTCCTCGCTGAATCCATCTTTCTGTAAAATGGTCATTCAAAGAACTACGAACGATGGTACCCCAATGAGGTGGTGCACCATCTTGTTGCAAAAAGGCATGTGGCTGAAGCTCTTCTAGTTGTGGAAATACGAAGTTTTCCAACATGTCTAAGTATACGACTGATGAGACCGTCCTTTTTGTAAAAACAAAAGGCCCAATGACTCAGTCATGCATTAGTCCACACCACACATTAACCTTTGGGGAATCCCTTTGTGCCTCACGATATTCATGGGGGTTTTCAGATCCCCATATGCGCACATTATGGCGATTAACAATGCCAGAAAGATGAAAGGATACTTCGTCAGAGAACATTATGCACTTCAGAAATTCAGCATCATCTTCTATCCTCCTTAGCATATTTGTTCCAAAACTTGAACAATTTGAACTTTGTATGCATGCAGTCTTAATTTTTTCTTAATAACCTTGTACACCGTAGAAATTGGCAAATCCAATTCTCTTGCCGTTGATCTCACAGATCTTCTAGGATTGTGTAAAATTGTTTCTCTGACACGCTCAACATCAAACTCACTTGTGCAGGGATGTCCGGAACGTTTCTTATCTGCGATACTTCCAGTTTCTAGAAATTTTTTTCCCACCGCAAGATGCTGCTTTTGGATGGAGGATCTTTTTGGTAAATTCTTCTGCAATTTCTCTGTGTTTCCATTATGTATTTTGTTACTATGAACATCTACAAAATCTGTGCTTTCTCTTGTGGTGTATGCATTCTCCTTAATATCCGGTCGAATAAAACATCACATACAAGGTTACTAGAACAAACACATCAAAAGTAAATATAACATTGCAATAGTTGCCAAAAACAAAAGAGAAAAATGCAATTAATAAGCAGACGATATTCAGAAAAGTACAGATATTTAGACTGAAAATGAAATTATCTAAAATCAACCACACGCGCAGACGATACTTACAAAAGTAAAGATATTCAAACCTGAAAAGGAAAATATGTAAGTTATTCCATCAATAAATGCCATAAGTTTGTTTATATCTTCATTACTTTATGAGTTATTAAACATCAAAATGGGTCCGGGACTTTATAAACACCCTGTATTTTATTGACTAGATGATTCAATGCATTTCTGAATGAGTACACATCTACATTTGATACAAATATTTCTTCTTATACCCTGCTACACTGATCTGCTGAAATGAAGTTGTTTCCTGTTTAATTATACAAAATTATCTGAAAGATGACAAATGGAGCAGACTATATGTGCTTTCCAACTCGAGTTTCACAGTGCAAACCCAGCTCCTCTGCCATTTTTGTAAATCTATTTAATTTGCTATTCTTTATATTTCTGTTTGGTTTCAATTTGCCTCATAGCAACTCTAATTTCATCATAATTACTCACTTCAAAAATATTTTCACCAATAAAATAACAATAATTTCATTAAAAAAAATTCTTACTTCTGTTCTATGGATAGTTGCATGTATACTTCCAGACTTTGACATCCATTTAGCACTTGATGTAACATAAAAGTCAGTACCTTTAAGAGAGACAGAAAACGCCCCTTGAGGACAAGTTGGTCTTCTGAAACAATCTCCAGCTGTTGCATATGGCACAGGCTTACCATAATATGTAGTACTAAATGTAAAGTCATCAGCTGGAAAAAACAGCAGAAATTAAAAGAATACAATTTTCATTGTTAAACATTAAGTATATATAAACAAAATGTGTAAAAAAAATTATTTTAATTAAGATACCTTAAAGGACAGCAAGAGCATTTAAAAAAAAAGGAACTAAAGAATGTTAAAATTAAGAACCTCACATATAAAATTATATATATTTCAGATTTACTTGTGTAACAATAGTAAAAGTAGATTTTCAAGCATTTTCGATATAAAATATGAATATTTTGATATTTTGTATCTCTTCTCTTTAGTAATGATATCATAGAAATCACACCTGATAATACCATTCAAAATAGTTTTTTGAAATCCTTTCTATTGTTTCATCTACCCTCTAAGGAAAATCCAAAATCCTTGCTATCCTAGCCTCATTCATTTTTGAAAGGGAAAGGAAAATTCCGTTCCTTCCTTAGTTGGAAATTTAATTGCAGACTTTTTCCTCTTTCCATGAGATGGTATATTTAAGTAAAGTAGTTTAAATCAATATAAAAAAGTACAATTAATTTTTTTTTTTTAAATTAAAAACACAATTTCCCATGTACCACAAAGTATCACATGGGAACAGAAACACAGAACACGATATAGAAAACTGTTTCAATAAATATAATACACACTAGAGAAAAATAAACAGTAATCTAAAGAAATAAAAAGAACTTATGAAGGATTACAACAATTTACATTAAATTTACAAAAATAGTCAAAGGCATTTCTGTCGGAAATAAACTAATGAAAATCAGTAGGACAAAATTTTAATATTTTAAAGTGCCAGTTTTTAAGATCTCTCTTTCACTATCAAATTTGGAACATGGAAGAAGCACATGTTCATTGCTTTATTTCTTGCTACTGATGCTGCAATCACAAAACGTCTTACAATCGATTTTAAATCTTCCCAGATAACTTTTAAAGTTTCCAAGGCCAGTAGGGAATTGGGTCATTTTAAAACTTGTAAAAAAAATGATGACAAGGCAGTTTCATTTTGATAGAAGGGAAAAATCTCTTAGTTAAACTCCCTTTATTTGAACTAATGTATTCATGATTCGACGACTCCACAATACTTTCTTCATGAACAACTTCTAAAAGGATTCAGAAATATTAATAAAAATGTCAGTTTCGCACTTGGTAGCAGCCTTTGCAAGAAAATTGGCCTGTTCATTTCCTAACAACACCCCATGACCACAAACAAATGTAAAAAACACTGAAATGCTTTTATCTTTTAGGTTTTTAAGATGTCTCTGAATTTTAATAACTATCTTATTAGAAGAAATATATTTTAGGATCTCCAAGAATGAAAGGGAATCAGTAGAAACAAGATTGTCTAAAACAGCACTATTTTGTTCAGTGATTTATCTGATGGCAAAATTTAAACACAAAAGTTCAGGTTTAAAAACATTGCATTAATTTCGAATTCTGTATTGAAAGTGCTCGAATTCAAGGCCATTTTTGAAGACCACAAATGTGAAACCAGCTTTGCCATCAATTTTACTGCCATTAGTATAGCAAGTTACAAGAAAAATAATCTGCGATTTCATTATTAAATTGAGTAACTTTAACAGCATTTCTTTCTGAGGGATGATGAAAAACAAATGATAAAACACAATTATAACCAGAGACAGAAGAAGCAGAGAGATTTTCTCTAAAGGCAATATCACAAAGAATGGCAATGTCGTTTGGAAGAAAACAAGAAATTCAATAAACAGACTCCTAACTTATGGTACAACATCCACAAATGACCCACAGAAGTATCCACCCTGGAGATATTTATAATTTATCTTTCTCATAAGCACCATACCCCAAACTCTAGAATCATATATTATGAAAGGTTCAATTCCTTGCTTATAGATGAACAACTGTATGTTGAAAATAATACCATACATGTTGCATGTAATTCAACTTAGTCCACGCTGTAATTTATCACATTTCTCTGATACATACGTTAAATGTCACTTCCAAGAAAATTTAGAGTCAAGGAAGACCCGAAGCTATTTCATTTGCTTTACCACAGCCAATGCATTTCCGTTGAGAAATAACTGAAATGTAACATAACAAACATTTCGCTTTTTAATGATCATGGCTCTGCTTTTACCAGGATTAAAATCCAATTTAAACCCTTTTTGACCAATTGGAAGCAAGGTTTAAAGTCTCCTGTGTACCTGTGTGTGAAAAAAGGTAGCGGGAAGATCCCTACTCTGGAAGCAAACGAAGATAACTCTGTCACAATATATATATATATATATATATATATGCACCCAGAAGAAATCCCAATACTCGTTAGGAATATAGTCTGGTAAGAGATATGCCAATGATTTAAATTTATATGCCAATGAGATAAGGGCAAGAGCGCTGTGTGCATATGAGATGCACAGCTGGAAGAGTTTAAAAGCATGATTGCTCATGCCATGGGGATATTCAAACGAATCTGTCAACTTGGATGAACAGTACTGTGACTAGAGATGCTTCTGAGACATAAGTGGTGGCAGCATGAACAGAACTTTCAGACTTGGAAAAGAGGCATATAGTAGGCCTCAGAGAAGCAGGTTGGTTGAACAGGCGTATCAGCCACCACCTCGGTTGGAGCAATATGGTAGTTGCTCAGTGTTAGCGACAATGAATCACGGAAGGGATAGCTTACACTAGGCAAGGGTCAGGACGTTCCAGGAACACAAATGAGCACGAGGATCACACAATCATAAAATTGGCTACTTCCATGCTGACAACGTCTCTAGCATCGATTTGATGCCATTTATCACCTTCCAGGCATCTGGTGGTATCAAGGGAAATCATTCGGAGACAACTGGCCGACTGCTGACGTCCATTAAAACACCTACCACTGACCCCGCATCATAGGCAATGTCAACTGGATTTTTGCCAAACTAGGGAAAGCTGGAGTGGGACTGACTGGAAGTATGTGATCATCAGCGATGGATTCCAATGAACGCACGTGTGTGGATGCGGCCAGGCCAGCGGTCTGACCCAGCATTTGCTGTCGAGCAGCATACGGCAAGTAGACAAGGTGTGACAGTCATTTAAAATATTAATATTCACATGAATATTAAATTACAGTGATTTCAAATACAAGGAAATGTAAGCTACAGAATGATGTTTAATTTCTTTTTATATTAAAACCAAGTAACATAAAGTGTATTCCATACTTATTAGAGTTAAACTTGTACGATTTAGAGCAACTTTAAAATACTCTGTGTAACCATAGTCATTTCGGCTACAATCACATTCATAGGTTACATCATTCGAAAGACAACTGTCACTACTGGTAAACCTGAAATGAAATAAATTAAAAATTAGCTTTCCTCATTAAATAAATGTGATTCAACAATATTTCTTTAAACTTTATTTTAAGCAAACATTTAAGTAAAAATTCTATAATGAAACTTGGTTTCAAAGATGGATTTATAAATAAAGAAAAAAAAACTGGTTTTGAATTACTTGTATCAATGGAAATCAGAATGGAAACCATAAATGACATTGTTTAAGCTGTTACCTTGGTTTGCATAAAAAGGTAGTTTAAAAATGCAAAGAAGGAGCAAAATATAACAAGCTATTAATATTACTTTCATTGGTTTGTAAATCATGGTTTCACTTTTCGAAAAAAAAAAGTTATTCATAAAAATCTGCCCTTCTTTTTAATAGGCAATTTACATGCTTTCCTAATCAGTATCAAGAGTAGTATAATAAATGTCAGCAAAACACAAATATCTTTATTTAGTCTACTGAGAAGGCATGCACAATATCCTACAATTGTAACAAAGCTGCCATTTCAGACTTTTAAGCAGAATAATCTTCATACCTTTGTCATAATCTGGTTGACATGAAAAAGGTCAATTTCTTTTATTTAATATTTTGAGAAAACTGTTATATTTTCCCTTTGAAAGCACAGAGAAGGGAATGAAAAAATAAATGCTATCTTTAATTTTTTTTCATCTTTAAACACTTTTGTTAGACATAACTAATAATTTGCACATACTAAAACACACATTACATATACTGAATATTGACTAAACTATTTAATATTGCATTTCAGGCATAGGAAAAAAATTTACAGTATAGAAAATGAAATAAAATTTAATAAAACATAAAAACAGAGAAAACAAAATATACATACTTGAAATTTAAAGCAGATGAATATATGACTGCGAAATTACGTTCAGTTAGATTTATATATTCTTGAGGATTTTGAGTATTCATGCCATGACAGTATACAGTTATTATTTTCCCTTTGATATAAATTTGATAATCACCATCATCTCTTCTATTTTGCAAATTATGAAAATCTAAGCAACTTTCAGGATGACCTAATAATTAACATACATAAAATATACATTAGTTTATACTATATTATTCACATTGCATTATCATCCAAAACGGAAGATAAAATCTGAAATATGCTGCCTTCCAAGTTAAGCAGGCAACAATAAAATCAACAAAAATGGAAAATAAAGCTTTTACTAAAATAACACTGCACATGAAGATAACAAATGTGTTCATGCATGTAAAAATATAAAAACTGTTTAATTTTCATAAATTATATGATTATATCACATTTAGGTCATAAAAAAATTGATTTTTAATGCTAAAAATAAACAATGATCAGGCTTTTAAAGAGATGATCAACCATTGCAGATGCTAGCAATGGCCATTCCTTCATTAGGGCAGTTTCCATCTGTTTGAGATTGGCTGGAGGAAGTAAGCATGGAGAGATAAAATGCCTGAAAGCATCCCAAGGATTTTCAGGAGGATTAAGGCTATGGGAATATGGTGACCACTCACTATGAGAGATGCCCTTACTCTCCAGGTACTCATTAATGATGCTGGTTTGATAGGGATGGCCATTATCATCCATAAAAAAGAAATCAGTGCTGCAGCATAGAGTCTCAAAATGGAGTGCCGGACTTCATTCCAATATTGTGCTGCCATCACAGAACTATCTTTAAAGATGTGCAAACAGGTGTGATATTCCATTGAAATTTCAGTCCTTATAATGATGCTGCTACCTCTAAATGCATGGTGTTTGATGATGTTCTGGACTTAATTCCTTGTGCATTATTCTCTCCAGACCCTTACACTCTTATCACCTGATTCCAAGGAAAATCTGGATTTGTCTGTCAACAGGACGTTGTGCCTATCTGAGATAGTCCAAATGAGATGCTGAAAGCATTACTTTAATCATGCCCCTCTCAACTCGGCAGTTAGCGTAATTCAAACACTTGGTACTTCAGTTTACCCTACCTTGATGTGATGTCTTTGATACACTGTACCAGCAGATATTGTTTTACTGAGTGATGCTGCAACCATGGATGTAACAGTTGTGGAGTTAACTTCTGAATTTTACCTCACTACTACAGGCACATAAGCCCCGTTAACAAGAACAGATTCGACCAATAGCAAAAACTGGTTCTTTCAACGTGTCCCATTCACATGACGACAAGCATTAACTGCTTCTCCGAACTGTAGGTAGAATGTTCCTATCTCTCGGGAGCAGGGCAAATGGGAAGATTTTCCATACTGCACTGTGTGGTTCACTTAATTTTAACAAACAACATGGCTGACGTGCAACTGACTGCTTGCTATACTATCAGAGAAACAATCGTGTTGGTAGATATCTGAGGATGCGATATCATCCAAAAAATTTACATAGAACCATATGAAATATGGAAATTTGTAAACAAGTACAGACAAGGTTATCTGATGCTGGGTATTCCAGAAATACCGTTCAAATTAAAACTAAAGATGCGCATATTGGCTTCAACTCGACAAGGGGACTTGGTACCTTTTGAATGATTTTTTTATTTAAGAACTTTTATCTACTTTTATGAATGTTATTAAATGGTTTTGTAAGACAAAATAACTTTAAGATGAGAAAAATATTTTTGCCAGTATTTTTTTTAAATTTAAATTTTTGGAAGAAAAGTTTAACAATTAAAAATGTCATTCTCCTCCTACAATTTTCAATGATTTCCCCCCATATTTTCTTATTGTATTTATTAGAAAGTTCTTAATAACTTTATGGATCGATTTTGCAATTAATGAATTAGTTTCTGAGAAAAAATAAAAACACATTTTTATGCAAAAACTTTGAAACAAATATGATCTCAATCACATTTCCACTTCAGATAATTTTTCTTTTCAGTATTTTGCAGAACCCATTCTTATTTCTCTAAAGTATATAATTTTAATTAAGTGGTAAAAATATTAAATAATTTAGGCCATATCTATATAAGTTTTAGGACTTTAAATAAAAGGATTTATCAAAACAATGGAAACTGAGAAAACACAGTTTTAAAGAATATAAGCTGTCTATATGGTCATTAAATCATTTCAAATTTCTTAAAAAAATTATTGCTGAATTTCATTATATATATATATAAAATAAAAACCTAGTGCTATTCAATCAGTTAATATAAACATAAATTACAGGCTTTTATTTAAAATCTTCATAAAACACGTTCAAAACAATTTTAACAGATGAATTAAATATATTTTCTAAAATGTTTATAATCAATATTAAAACATTTATAATTAATATTATTGCTATTAATTTGTCATTTTATTCATTTTTTCAAAAGCAAAGTTTGAAATTTTAGCAGCCACAAAACATTTTATTTAAAACTGCTCAGCAGCATATGATTCCTTTCTTCTTTTAATCATTTGATCTCGTATATAAATTGCATTTTAAATTAATTTAGGTGTATTTTAATTAATTAAAGAATTAAACTCCGATGGCATTCTATAGCAATAGTAAACAATGTCAAAAAAGATGTAAGTAAACGTTAGAAATCCGCCAATCTGATTCGCGTTTGTTACATCATTCATTGCTCACAGTGGTTTATGGGTTAAGGGATAGAAGACTATGTGCATCTGAACCGGTAAGTACACTGCTAGGACAACGGCTTGAGTTTGGGCAATAACAATCCAGATAAGGGTCACCAATGAAGTAACCAATATAATAACATAAATTATTACAGTTTTGCATTACAATGCTGTATTTTGACACAGAGACAAAAATTCAGCAGTATTTTTTCAAGCTTTCAGTTTCAGTCAGTAAGAACACGTACCTTTTTATAGTAGGTTTTGTTAAAATAAACTGGATATTTATTTATGCACTAAAATATGATGAAATATTGTAAATTTCAGTAGTATGAAATCAATGAAAATTGCTTAAATGTCAAAAATCGAATGCAATTAAAAAGTGTTTAGTTGGCCAAATAAGAAATTCTACATAGAAGTTTTTAAAGATCCAAATAATGTTTCAGAATAAAAACAGTTTATATACAGTAGATCCTTGATAATGTATATGATCACATTAAAAAAGTTTTAATTACACAAAAAATTATACAGATAAAATATATTTTTCTGAATTAGACATGAAGTATGACATAAATTATCAATTAAATGTTTTAATATTAAATTTTATGCGATGTCCTCTTCAGTCAGTCGACATTTCCTTATGTTACACATAAAAATCTCTCCAATTCTCTATAAATATATATTTTAAATAGTTCTGAATAATAATCACATGTTAGCATTGTAAATAAATATCACCAACTTACATTTAGGTGAGTTAGAGCACCGTCTCCTTTTCTGAGGTTTCATTGAAGGATTACATTTATTGTTAGGAACTTTCTGTCCTTGAAGAGTATAACAACGCAGTTTTCTTTTCTGTTTAGCATTTTGACATCTTCCTTCACACTGAAACATATTGTTTTCTCAAAATTCAAAAGAAGGTCCAAATATGCAAACATAACTAATCTTTAAATTATATTTATCAATGCATACAAATTTTAAGCTTTTTAAAAGCATTCATGTAATTATTTTTTTTAAAAAACATATGTCTAAGTAAAACCATTTAGACATTACACTAAAATGAACTCATTAAATAAGTTTGATATATGCTTTCAAACTAAACTGCTAGTTGAGGTTTTCCACTTATAAACATGACAGGATAACACCGATGTTGCAAAATGCAGATAAAACACAGGAAAACAGTCATGCTTAGAAGAAAGAAACTTAATTAAATGGAATAATAAAAGACTTTGCAAGATAAGAGCAAAGAAAGTCTATGTAAAGAAGGAAAGGCTCCATAGACGTAATGTAAACCAGTTTGTCTTCTACGCTGTTAGAAAGAAGAGGGACAATTCGTCAAGGGATTTGGCGACAGAACCCGTTGGCGAGAATTTCCCCCTTTGTGATGTACCTAGCCGAGATTTTCCACCTCTGTCACGTGCACAGGAAATTGAAGAACACGGGTTAAGATGAATCGTTCTTTGACTTTTTGCGATAATTTAAACTAGAATTTTCGTGCTTTTTTGCTTTACTAGTTGAACTTGTATTATAAATATCGCAGTTTGATGTCCGATTTTATATCTGTGGATATATAGAAAAAAATGGAGTCACACAGCTTTAAACTCTTGATAAATGTGACCGTCGAACCTGTTCGAACTTCGACATCAGCTTCGAGCTTTGGCGCTTTTTGGTGACAGATATTTCACGCATGCGCAGTTGTGTCCCTTTTCGTTCGGAGGGAGCCACGCCTGCTGCTGCCAAGCTTTCCTTCTTAACAATACATATTCTTTGATAAGAGTGTGCAGAAGCAATACAAAAAGAAAAAATATGAAAATTCCAGAATGTTGCTGTTCTGCTTAACATTCATGATAACATAGGTATAGTTAATGTACATAGTTCTTTTTAACATATGCAGTATAAACAGTTTCATTGTTTTATGGTGAATAATGCTATCAGAATTTATACTATATATATGAAAACAATTATTGGATATTATTGTTATATGCTTCAAACCACAATACTTCTTTATTTTATAAGATTAATATGGGAATTCCTTTATTTTTTGTGACCTTGGCATAAAAAATTATAAAGTATCACGAGTAATTGAAGAGTTAGAAAATAAAATTAAATTTCTTACCTGAAGCCAGGGATCAGGCCTCCAGACAAATCCATCAGAACAATGACCATAATTACATTTTTCAGTCTGTCTAGGACGTCGAGACATTAGGCAGAAACCTTTTGGGTTTTTTAATGGTTTAGGATCAACCCAACCATAGATATTTACAGCATGGCAGGTGACAGCACGAGATCTAATTCCTTCACCACAAGATTTTGAGCACTAATAATAAAATATTAAAAATAAAAAACAGAAAGTGCTCTACAGGAAAAAAAAAATAACGCAAAATTTAATAAAGCTAATATTTTAGAAAACAACAAAAAGCACAATGTAAAACTTCTGCTATTTTACACACTGATTTTTTGGTAAAAATTTATTATCTTTCAGTCTCTACATATTCGTATGTTTGCGAGATAACATTTTAATTATAATTTGTAACAGTTCTTAAAATATTTTTTTTAATTTAGTATTTTTCTTCATGTTTTAAGAATAACAACATCCATATTATTAATCTTTCTGATATGATCATTCCTAAATTAATGATGCTTTACTTACATAATTCTGTCAGTGCTCATCACACAATATATATACACACACACACATGTATATAAATTAATTTTCTATCCAACAGTATTTAAATCAGAACTTTTAAGAACAAAAAATATACATAGTTCAATAACAGTATCTTCCAGAAAAAGAGATACAGTCAAAAGTCGTTAATCCGGACTCGTCGGGACTTCGGCGATTCCGGATTATCGATTTTTCCGGATTATAGATCATCAGTTTAAATCCGGTAAGATTGCACGCAGAAATTATAAAATTAAAGATATGAAACCGTAATTTATGAAATAAAGAACAATTATGATCTAAAGGGTAACATAATTTACAAAAAAAAAAAAAAAAAAAAAAAAAAAAAGGCTTAATATTTATTTGTTTACTTTATTATACATTTCTTTCAATGTAACAGGAAAGCAAATCAAAATAGCATAGCGGACTTTTCTAATATTTTGAATTATGAATCATAGAGGATGATTATTACAATAGGCCCTTCACTGCCCACACCATTAATATAATGAATTTGCACACCTAACTTAAGCAGCATCGACTAGGACCATTTTCCGAGAGGGTGACCACCCACGTGACCAGCCTGAACATCTCAAAGTGCCTTGCTTCTATCCACCAGCTCCTGATCCCGGCTTTCCACCTCCGGACTTTGAATTTCTTTTAGCCCCCATCACCGCCACCAGAGGGCGACACACCTGACTGCTGTTTATTTTCTTCTTTTTCCTCCTGCTCACTGCTCCCTCCATGGGATTTATTCTGGCATTTTTCATCACCATGCCCATTGTGGAATTACATCAGGTTTACAGGGAAGTACTGCGAATGCAGTAGACCCCCTGTATAATTACTTCTGTATCAAAGTATCAAAGTACGTAACCTCCCGTCTTACATGGACCCTGAGGAAATTATGATGGATCTAAAAGAACATGGATTCGACGTCGTGCGGGTCAACCAACTCACTATCAGGCGTAACGGAGAAGTTATTAAGCTTCCCCTGTTTCTCGTTACTCTAACCCGCAAGGAGAAAAACAAGGAGATACCAGTTAAAATTTGTGCTAGGAATGAAGATTAGTGTTGAGAGATACCGTGGCCGTAAGGGACCCTTGCAGTGTTATCGCTGTCAAGGGTTCCATCACGCCCAATCGCACTGCAATCACGAACCACGTTGTGTTCATTGCGGTGAACCTCATGAATCATTTAACTGTGACAAGAATAAGGCAACTCCGCCTAAATGTGCCAACTGTCATGAGATAGGTCATACAGCTAACTACAGATTATGTGTGCGTTTTCCAAAACCAAAAACCACTCCGGCTGTGAAAACGCTCTCTGATCGGGTGGTGCATATTAAAACTTATGCACAAGCTTTAAACACCGGCCTCGCTCCTGAATTTCTAACTGAAGCAAACCAAGTTGCAGCTGAGCTACGTATGCTTGTCTCTGCTCTAAAAGAAACTGGATTTACTCTGATGGCAAAGTCAAACGTATCTCAAGATCATACTAATGCAGCCGCTGTTAATGGCTAATTACATGAAAAAGTGTACTCCCGTACAAATAATGATATGGAATGCCTGCGGGCTACCCACCAAAATTACTGAACTGCACCATTTTTTAACTGAGCATGATATTGACATTGCAATCATATCAGAGACTCATGCAAAACCATGCCAAAGCCTGAGAATTGCAAATTATAATTCATACCGCTGTGATAGACTTTCACACAGAGGTGGGGTGGTGTGGCAATATATGTGAAACGTAATTATGCATCTTGTCTTATATCTGATTCAAGAAATTTTAATTGTGAGCAAACTACTGTGTGTGTGTCACTCTTCCTGTGTTTAATAACATCAATTTTTGTGCTGTGTAAAACCCTCCAACGAATAGACTATGTGATAATTTTCTAAATAGCATTCTACCGGATGACATACCTACCCTTGCTGCCGAGGACTTTAATGCTAAGCATATAGACTGGAACTGTCGTCGGACAAACTTAAATGGTAAAATTCTCCATGAATATATTTTACAGCATCCGGTGGCGCTACATGCCCCACCAGAATACACGCGGCTTCATAAATAGAATTGAATTTTCTGATATACTAGACATTGCAGTCACTACAACGACTATCCCCGTTGCAATGGAAGTATTTCATGAATTGTCCTCTGACCGCCTCCCCGTAATCACAACATTAGGAGTGACAAAAACTTCTGAGTTCTCTACTAAGCGTATTACGAATTGGAATCTCTTCAGCAATATCATGAAAAATTCACCTCCTCGACTGCAAAATCTCAATACCAAACAAGGCATAAACACCGTAATTAATGCCTTAAGTGAAAGCATTCAAGGTGCAATTAAGGAAGCCAGTACTGAAATTACTAATCGTGATAAGGCTTTCAGACTGCCCCTTAATATACGACAGCTTATGAGAGAGCGAAATAGACTCAGGAAATGTTATCATTTAACGTGGGACCCGGCACTTAAACGTGAAATAAATCGTAAAAATAAGCAAATTCAGAAGGCCATTAAAACCTTCAAAGAAGAACTATGGGATGATAAAATGTTAAATCTGGATTCTAGAGAAGGTACATTCTGGTCTTTAATCAAAAATTTTTAAAACTTCCTTCACAAGTAATCGACCCCTCTATGACAGAGGTAATATTGCCATCTCCAATCAGGAAAAGGCAGAAATCTTCGCAGCACACCTCCAAGAACAGTTCTCGCCAAATGATTGGCCAAATGACTCTGATTTCGAATTAAAGACCCTCCTACGAGTGAGGGATTGGCTCAACGCCCCTTCAGTCAGACTTCCGAATTAAATATGCCACTCCTACTGAAACGACTAATATTATCAAACACCTGAGACAAAAGAAATCTCCAGGAATTGATGAAATCAGCAATACAGCAATTAAAAATTTGCCGCCTAACATCATCTGCAGCCTGACAAGTATTTTTAATGCTTGTCTTGCTCTTTCTTACTTTCCAACACCTTGGAAAATTGCTAAAATTATTTTACTACCTAAGCCGGCCAAAGATCACACCCGACCAGACGGATATCGTCCTATTAGTCTAAATTTTTGAGAGAATTATCGTGAATAGACTGAAACCATATTTTCAGCATCTTCCGCCGGAACAATTTGGGTTCCGTGCTCACCTCTCAACAACGAAGCAAGCAACTTGTCCGAATAACCGAATTCGCTGGTGCAGCTCTGCACTGCAAACTTAATGTTGCTATACTCATGCTAGACGTGGCGAAAGCATTCGACCGCGTCTGGCATGAGGGCTTAATTGCTAAATTAATTGACCTTCAACTGGACAGAGAACTCATTCTGCTAATCCATTCTTTTATCAGGGATCGGACATTCAGAGTCTCGGTAAAAAATGAATTATCCAGCACTAAAATAATGACTAGCGGTGTTCCACAGGGTTCTGTGACTGGCCCTATACTCTATCTATTCTACGTTTCAGACTTTCCGAGATTGCATTTAAATCATAATTCTATGCTAGCCTGTTATGCAGACGACACTGCCCTGGCAGTGAAGTCTGCTAACATCAATCATGCTATTCGGAAACTCCAAGACACTATTCCCTCCATAGAACAATGGTGTGGATATTGGAAGATACGAATTAACGCTCAAAAATCGCAGCTCCTACTCATAAGGAAAAGGAAGAAAAATGTTCCGATCAGGCAAAGTGTTTATCTTTTTAACGAGGCTGTGCCTATCGTGAAACAAGCCAAATATCTGGGCATCACCATCAACGACAAGCTCACATGGCAGCATCACATCCAACAAATCAGGGATAAAGCGATTAAAGTCATGAAATGTTTATATCCTATGATAGGGAAATATTCAAAACTTTCGTTGGACAAGAAACGACTTATTTATCTAGCCACAATCCGACCCATCATGACGTACGCTTCGCCAGCATGGACTACCGCTACGAAGGGTGAAATCCAAAAATTACAAGTTGTGCAAAGCCAATTTTTAAGAATTATCACAAATGCACACCCGTATGTGAAGAACAAACGTCTCCATGAAGATTTAAAAATGGATACAATAGTGGAATATTTAAGAACTAACACGGCATTTTGTGACACCGCTAAGGAGTGCCAACATATGGACATTTTCAACCTATTTCACTATGAAATTTTACACGAGGACAGGCACCAAAGGTACTGTTAAAATGAAATTTGGGGATAGAATTATTTTGTTTAAAGATGTTTTATACTCACCTGAACCGAGACGAAATTAAATATCTGGACCTAAGGTGGATATCAATGGAGTGAGATTTTATGGTAAAAATGGGCAAATTAAAATTACTAATGATGAAAATGAAACTATGTTCAAGGCTAAGCTGATAGGAAGTAACTATCATGTATTCCCGAAAATAGTTAAAAAGTGGGGCAAATCTGCGAAATTTGAGGCATTCATAGTTCAGCGTAACAATAGTGAATTATGGCATGGTCGGTTTGGTCATATAAATTATGCTGCTATTGTCAGGACTAGTAAGAGACATTCAGTTCGAGGTCTTCCTGTGTTAACCCTTTGCGGCATGATGGGTCAATATATGTCCCACCTAATTAATATTTATTTTCTCAGTTAGCAATTTCCATTAGAAATTTTCTAATCTTTTAAAAATAATCAATTTTAGTTATTATTTTTCTCAGTAGATGTTACTACTGTACCAGGGCTTAAGTTTATAAGCAAAAAATATTCAAAATAGGATCACAAGAGTGATATCCATATATCTCGCATTTTTAAATATTTTAATAATTTTGGTATACAATTTATGATATGTATGATTCTTTTTAATATTCAAAGGTATTTTATTTTCAAAAATCTTAATTGGATTCAATATTTTATAACATTAATTTTGCAGTTGAAATAAGTGGGTTAAAATTTGTCCCACCACACACTTGAATTTCCGCTCAATAGATGGCAGCACTCACGATTATTTTTTCTTTTCTTTTTTGCATCTACTTTTTTCGTGATTGCTCCCGCTTTTACATCCGTTGTATGCTCTGATGTGCTAAAATGTCTAGAAAAAAATTAACAACTCAGGAAGCTTTGGATCTTTTTGCTGAATTGCCATCCGATTGCGACTCTGCTTCAGATGTCAGGCCTGATTCAGATGAAATTGAAATCCAAGATAGAATAACTGAGGTTGAAGTTATTGCTGAAGAAGAAAGGGAAGTAGTTATAATTTGTTTCGCTTTTTAAAGACACAGACCAATCTATGCATGTGGCACTGTAAATATGGATCGGAAGTATCTACCCCAAAATTTAAAAGACAAATTTATATCAAGAGAATATATACACTTTTCAGTTAGCGATGATTCAATTTATTGCATAAAATGGAAGGATAAAAGATAAGTTTCTATCCTGTCTTGCTTGGAAAAGGCAACTGAAATGAAAGAAATTAATAGAAAAGAACGAGATGGAAAGACAAAAAAAAAAAAAAAAGTACTGTGCCCAAAACAGCATTATTTCATACAATAGAATATGGGATATGTCGACTGATTGATCAACTGAAAGGACTATATGAAATAGACCGCAAAAGCAAGAAAAAAATGGTGTGGCAGATGATTTTTTTTACTTTTTAGATGCGAGTATAGTAAACACACATTTATTCAAGTTTGTTCGCGAACCTGATCATGATGTAAAAACAATGAAAGATTTTCTTCTCTCAGTTACAGAAGGTCTAATGGCACTTGCAGGCAAGAAAGAGCTGAAAAGAAAACTGAAATCCCCAGTTCAAATGAAAACTAAAAACCCGTTCGTACAACCAGAA